GGTGAAATTGGAGCCCGCTCGTCAATAACCTCATCACAGGAGTGACACCCCACTGGTCCCACCCGTTCTCCAGAGAAGTTGACTATGCCAGGTCTGACCTAACGCTGGGGCAGGTGTCATGGCACCGTCGTAGGCTCTGCTCACCACAGTGCTCAGTGCATACTGCTTAAACTAATAAGTGGGAAGGAGGAGGCAGCTGGTTAATGCCAGGGGCACACGCAGGAGGGCCGAGGGGTGGGCTTTGGGCAGAGGCCATGAGATGAGGTGGGCTTCGCGTAAGTGACCAAGCTGTTTATGTTTAGCCTGTTGCTTGGTAACCTTATGTCCTGAAGGCTGATGCTCGTAGTCGGGGCCTGTGGAGTTCTCTGGTTGTCCCCAGGGTGCAGAGACAAGGAAAGCCCAGTGGCCAGTGGCTGGGAGGTCAGAGGAGTGGGACGAAAGCGGCCTACATAGCAGGCATTTCTCTGGCATCGGCATTATCCTGTGCCCAGTGGGTGGAGGGGACGGGTGAAGATGGGAAGGTAGGGGTCTCCAGAACTGGGGAGATACAGTAGGAAATGTTTAATTGTCTTGCAGCTCCTGGGGCTGTGAGGGGTCAAGGTACACAAGGCAGCTCTAGGGAAACGTGGAAGTAGGAAATGCTGGGTTATTTCAGGAACTCGCACCACTTGGTCCTGAGGCACGTTCGGCCTTCTGGGTGCCAGTGCTCACTCTGTGTCACAAATGTTCTGGGAACGGCTCCAAGGTCGCCGGCCCCCTTGGGAGGTGGAAGTGAGGATGCTTTCGTCAATCACAGCAGCAGGAGGAAGCGGAGGAGCACATGTCTGACATCTCTGACACTGGACAGGGGCTGCTTTCTGTGCCAGGCGAAATGGAGTCCTCTAGTAGACCGCCGGGTAGCCTAGCACCGGGTGCCCTCAGACTGCCTCATCTGTGGCTATCGAATACCGGGTTAATCGTCCGAGGTGACGGGCTGTGGTTTTTGTGCCTAGGGCAGTCAGCCTGGAGAGGTGGCTCCTCATGCCTGTCTCCTCCTCTCTGACCAGTGTTCTCTGAGCACCTTAGGAAGTGGCAGGTAAAGATCCCACCTGTTAGGAATGTGGTCAGGAAGGGAGACCTGTGTGTGAGACATGCTTCGAACCCCAGAGTGTCTGTCACCCAGAACCAGTGGGCAGGTTCTTGTATTGGATGTCATCGCATCCTTTTGGGGAGTTTGCTTGAAGTCCCCTGATAAAGATGCTAACCCTTAAGTTGTTGAGTAATTCATTAAGCTTCAATTTTTTACAGTTTGCTTTCTCTGTAAGAGAGACTGAAGTAGCATCCTCAACAGAGTCTTTTTGATTTTTTTTTCCAGAGAGATTTTAGCTATAGGGTGCATGCATTTGCCGGAGAGACAGAATCAGAAAGTGAGGTATCACACACACACACACACACACACACACACACACACACACAAACACACACCACATTCACCCCAGGGTGAGCGGGGGATGACCACGCCGCAGTCCCTTTGCCTCTATTCTCCTTCTAGGATTTTGGGCACACATAAGCACCTGGCGTGACTTTCAAGCCACTGTGTCCAGGACTCCAACCTTGGCCAACCCTGTGCGAGTCCAGCTACGTAACCGTTACGGCATGTGCTGGTCTCCCAACACGTCCTTGACCCACCCCCGGCCTCAGCCAGCCTGGATCATGGGCACACATGTGTCCAGTGTGCTCAGGGAGATGTAGGGACATGGACCCCACACTGGCCCACGTGGGTCAGGCTTGTTTCACTGCCGTGCCACTCTCTGGCCCCCATCTGTTAACTTAGGTCTGAAATGTAAAACAGCATTAGCTTTGTCCTTCAGTCTCAATCAAGAGGTTATGGTGTAAGAATGAAGTTTTTCTGTGCCAGTCAGGGGCATGGTGGTTAAGGCACATGGGTCCCACATGGCCAATTGTGTGGTTCGAGTCTGGGACCCAGCAGCTTGAAAAAACATGCAAGGCACATGTGCATGTGTGCCTAACACTCCCAGAGGACCATGGAGGAAGAGGGAGTGGGTATGGCCATCCACCCTGGGGTGGTAGCGTGGGGAGGGTTGCCTTCTCACTTTGTTTCTTTCTCTGTTTTCTCCAGGGAGTGTACATACGCTATAGCAAATTTAAAAAAAGAAAGAATCAAGTTCTTCTATTAATGGGAAAGTCTCTGATGAATAAGACTAGAATCTAATTTCTCGAATGCCATGCATGTTCTGTTTGGAATTTAAAATGAGTACAGCTCATCATTAATAATAATATTTAGCAAAATATTCCACTAGAGAGGCCTCTAAGCATTCATGTCTGAGAGCTCTTGGAGCCCCGAGGGAGGGCATGAACCTGTGATGTTGAGAGCCAGATCCCTTCAGGTTTCTAATGGCCAATTTCCTCATGGACGAATCTGCATCCCTACCTCCACCCCTGACAAAGGAAAATAAAAAAATGGTTCTTTTTCATTACTGTCTGGTTAGGTGTGGGAATGCTGCCTTTGTTTGATTTTTATTGAGGTTTCCGCACCTAGAGCGTTCATTCGGATGTGCTTCTTAAGCAATGTCAGGGGCAGGAATCCATTTCTGATGGCTGTGACAACTCTAAAACCGTCCGAAGTTTGCGACCTCATTTTCTGCGAGGTGTCACCAATGCTCCACGCCGCATTGGTGAGTGCGAGCTATTTTTGAAGGGGACAGAATGATCTTCTGCAGCCGCAGCCGCAGCTGGGTGAGCCTGTGATGGACAGCCGTGTGTCAGGCGTTTCAGGGCGTGTTTTTGGGAAGCAGAAGGCGATGGCTCAGGAATGGCGCAGACAAAGCGTGCGGCGGAGCTGCGGCCGCCCCGACTCCGAATTCCCTGGACTCAGATGCCGTTGAGGATGGAAACAGTCCTCACCGCAGCCCATCGCGTATTCGACCTTCATGTGAGCTTTCGGGGTTGGCATATTCCATCATGCAGGATGCCTGGGGACTCGAAGAGGTAATTTGCATAATGTGCTTGAACACAGATCGTGTCATTTTGCCTACGTTTGAGAATGAAATCGATATTTGTCGTCTCGCCACTTGTTCTTATAGCACTGTTTTGACTAGATAAGGAATGTAGGTAAGGAATTGGTTTACAAAAAGCTTTCTCTTGCACTATATTGGGTAATTGACAGGGTCAAACCATTCTCGTCATTGGCTGTGCCAAACTGAAATGAGGCAGAGAAGTTTAGATCTGTGTTCAGAAATGGAGTTCAGCGGTAGGCAAAGAAGTTTAAATACGCTGCTTATCTCACGTAGCACTTAGAATATTTAAATACACAGTACCGATTACGAGATATTAGAATCCATCTATTTAAAAGGAAAATTGGTTAAAGATGAAACTAGAACTTAGCAAGATGCGGTTGATCTAAGACAGGAGTCAGCAAACGTCTGTAAATGGCCACGTCCCGCACGTCTGGGGCCCTGAGGACTGCACGGTTTCTGTCTTTCCCGTTGAGCTCCACGGCTGTTCCTGGAGCACTGCGAGGGGCATGGAGGGGTGTCCGTGGAGACAGGCACAGCTCTGGTCCAGTGCACCCTCACATTCCAGTCCTTTCCTGCAGTATGCTAAGGTTTGGGCATAGAGGAGGTCGTTTTTGTTGTTTCTTCCTTATTAACACACTTTTGAATGGTGAGAAACTGTAAAGTGTCAGCAAACAGTATGCAGGATCTATCCGAGGAGTTTAATTTAGGTTTGGAGTGATGTGATTTGACCACTTTGGAGCAGTTCAGATCATAATGCTCCCTTTTGACAGGTTTCCCCGTACTTTCAGGAACCAGGGAATCCTCTCTCTGTCTTTACTACACTATGCAGAAATCCGTGTCTTGGTCAGAAATGTAATTCATACGTACCAAAGAAATCAAAATCACGCTTCGTCCAACAAAGATCAAATGAAAGGAAATGTCGTTTGTGAACATTTACTTAAATATCGAGATGTTTCGGTTAGTTGTCTACTAGGACAGTTGTCCTGGAAGTGCGGTCTGCTGTGAGACTGTCACCTGTGAATCACCCACCCGGCCCCTTCGTTGAGAGCATCTTGCTGTGGAAAAGGTAAATAAATAGCTGAGTTAGAGAGGAGCACCCTCCTGTAAGCACAGAGAGGTGCTGACAAAGTTGTGGGCCTCAGCCAGACTGCAGATCACGCTCTGGTGACACAACCCTGGGAGATGAAATGATGTCCCACCTCCCGGCACCCACACAGAGACTCCGCACGACCGTGAGACTCACAGAGGAGGCTGCTGCTGACGTGGCATATTAGGGATTCAGATCTCGTGTGCTAA